GATCATCTCCATACTTCAATTGCTTCTGTGTTGGTCGCATTGATAAGTGAACATTTTGAATAGGCCAGTTAAGGTTTGTATATATGACAACAACACTCTCCGTAAAACTTCATAAGTGGGGTCTAGGGAGGGCGGTATGTACCCTTACCCTTACCTTATGAGGGTAGATTCGATGGACCCTATTATAACAAGAAAGGAAAAATCGGTGGCACTAACAATTAGTAGTATGATAGCTGAAGGAAACATGTAATAATAAGAGTATATACAGATTTATAAATTAAATTTATCATAGCAAATCATTTTTTCCCTGAATTGTCAATTAATGCTTTCTATAAAATTCGCTTGAAATTACCTCATAAAAACTTTTTATATTATCGATGGTAGTTAAACTTTATTGAATGCTTTAGTTTGTTTCTTTTCCTCCAAAGTCAAAGCACTAAAAAAAAACAATTTACCCTTACTTTCGATTTTTATTCTAACTTCCCAAAATATGAAAGGGACAATATGAACGAAAGGAAAAGGTCCACAGAAACCGGTAGAGAAATATACCAACTTTACATTTTTCAAATTCAAATTTATTTAGCTGGTCTTCTGGCTGAACACTAAGTTCCACTGGAATTTAATTTTGAAATAACATTCTGCTTGGAATTTGGTCATAATTTTTCTAACAAATATAATCAAACACTAAAAATTGCAAAACTTTTTTATAAAATTAGTATTAGGATATGTGATATAGACTTCAATGAAGATATAGATAATATCTAAAGATTAATCATAATTTATATAGCAATCTCTTATATACATCGTAAACTAAATTTCAAGAAGTTGCTATCATTTTTTCTACAACTCTTTAGCAATTAGTGAAATGGGAATTTGTGTTTTCGTTGTATCCATCACTGATTAGGACGAGCGATTCGGAGAATATTGAATAACAAAAAAAAAATAAAAAAAAATTAAACTCAATGACAACCAAGAATATATATGTTCAATCTTAATCAGTCTTTATTCTGGAGAATGTATAAAATATCCCCAGGTCCTAAATAATTTCTAATGGTCCATTGCTCTTCTGTTGTCTCTTTAAGCCTTCTAATGCCACTCTAAGTTAGTTGTACATTTAATAGAAATCTATAAATGACACTCACAAACTTTGAGGTGCCTCAGTGATATATTACATGCAAGTAAAATATCTCAATTTTCATTGGATACCAAACTTCACATTTATGGTTACTTAAATATCAACCCCCAATGGGACTGGAAATTAAAATCCCCCATAGAAAAAGTAGTAAAACAATTTCATGAAAGTTCACAACTTTAATCATGACATGCAATAGTATCATCAACCACGCCACAAAATTCACTACACTCACAGCTTTCCACTCATCACGGCCTTCCCATCTTCAATTATTAATTTTACTCAAAGACAAAAATTAATGGTCATTATTTAATCACAATTCACATCAAACGTACACCTTAGCTTTAATTACGTCCTCAACTCTTTTTTTTTTTTTTGGTTACATTATAATTGCGTCCTCAATTACTTCAATTAATCAACTTCATGATTCCACTACTCAAAAAAGCAAAAAAAGAAGAAGGTTACATTACATTACATAAAAGAAGAAAAAAAGAAGAAGCTAAGCATGCGTGATACATTGAAATTTTTATGTTTCATCTGATGGACCTTCTAGTGAAAGTTGCTTTAACCACTCAAACGTTCGATGACGTGACATTGCTTGCTTTTTTGTCGCTTTGATATTCTCTGATGAATCCTTCTTATCTTCATGTTCATGGTCCCCGGTGGCTTTTCTTATTTTCTTAATTGTACTTCTACTGTTCACGATTGGAACTGTTTCTGCCACATTTGCTGAACATTTACAGCTGCCTAGAGAAAACCTCTGTTTCGTTTTCTTGCTTACTATAATTCTCATCTTATTATCGTTATTGCTGAAGCTGCCGCTGCTGCTACTGCTGGTGCTATTTCGACTTCCTGTAATATCCCTGTTTCCTCTGTTTTTCAGATCTTGTAATGCAATTTCTGGTGGTGTAACTAGGCCAACACGAAATAGACTCCACAATGCTGATTTTCTTGTTGAATTGTTGGCATTTGATTGAAAATTGACTTTAGAAAATCGAACCTGAGGTGTTGGACTAGGATGAGAATGAAATTGATTTCGAATCTTAGGCTGGTATTTTGTGTTGAAATTAGATGAACTGCCACTGCTCGATGAACGTTGGCTTCGAATACTGCTACTTCTACTGCTTGAATTTGTGTCATGACAATTGCGCCGATCACTTGGCAAACTAATTGAATGGCGTAACGGTAATATTTGGCCTTTGTAGAAAATTTCATCTGCCGTACACATCTCTGACTCTTTCAACAAATTACCACCGGAAGAGCTAAAATCAAAATCTTCCAATTGGCCGGCGGCTTCTTCACTAGTACTTCTAGAAGCTTCTTCATTCCTTTCGTTCTCTTCATTGTTCGGAAGATCACACAGTGATAATGCTTCTTCGTCTTCTTCTAATTCCTCGTCTTGTTCTCTGAGGAGAACAATTTCTTCGCTTTCCCTAGTAATTTTCATCATTTTTTCTTGTTCTTGTTGTGGTCGATATAGATAGAAAAATATAGTTAAAAAGAGGAGCAGTTATATAAAGAGGGAGACAAATGGGATGTAAAGGAATAAGCTTGCAGGCGACAATAGAAAATTGTTCGTTTCTTGTTTGCAAGTCAATAATACTATTGGGGCGCAAATAAAGCCGGCATTTTTTTAGCAGCGTGGAGCTTTTTTAAGCCTTTCAAATGATTATTGCGGAGAAAAATAAAGTTGAGCTTCTGAGTTACTACTTGGGAAGAGTGAAGATGGTGGTGGGGACTACTTTAATTTAACAATGCATGCATTTGAATGGTATTAATATATATAAAAAATATGTTTATGGATTTGGCTGCGATATTTTTTGAAATTTTGAAAGAGATCCTTTTTGTTTGGACTTTGAATGATGAATTCAGAATTGAACTACTCTAGACATAATATTTGGTATTAGATATTGTCGTTATTAATAAGAAGGTGACACCACAAATAGCAATTGATATATATAGGTACAATGGCACGCAACCACCTCTATATTAATATAGGCAAATTGTAATGTTTGATGGAGACAATTAAAATATTTCAGACGAATTTTAACAAGTTCGGTGAGTTTTTTAATTGTGTTAACGTTACTTTGTGAGTGGTAAAGAGGCATATGGTTCGGTGGTTGTGGATAGCTTTTTAAAGATATTTCGTAATGTTTTGTTTTACTATATATAAAGGATTGTTATTTTTGCCGTACTACTACTAATAAAATTATGCATGAATAATTATAATAATTAAATTGAGTTTATCATATAAGAAAATAATCATTGTCGGTTTACCTAAACTTCGTATGGTAGTGCATCATAGTGACTAATTAATGAAAAAAAATCATAATGTAATTAACAATTCTTACATGATTATTCTCTACGAAAAATGATTGAATATAATATGATTTTAGGCGTAGCTATTTCGTGAATAAAACTAAGGCAAAGTATTTAATTTGGTGAATTGACATGAATGTTCTTTCATGGAAAGCTTGTGATCCAAAATTGTGAATCTTGCTTGGTCTCTTAATATTTCACTTGTCTTTTTTGCCTACTCTTAAGGAAAGGTATGGCCAAATGTCACAAGCTTCTTCCTACCACAAAAGAGCTTGTGGTTCTCTTGCTTTTTTTCTTTTAACTACTATTTTATATATATTTATTTTCCCACTAATTAAAATTTATCAATTAACATATATATTGTGTCGGTTGAAAAGGATGAGGCTCCAATGTGTTTTTAACTAAGGTTAAATAGCTGTTAGTGATATAAAAATAGTTCTTCTTACTTTTACTACGAATAAAGCACAATATCACGTAGACTAATGCGCAGAAAGATTAAATTACTCTAATGGAAACTGCGTGAGTTTAGCACTTAATTTTTTTTATAAAATTGAAATACTTATTTTCATGTGGACAGGAAATTAACAATTTTGAAATTACTAAAGATAGCTACTTTTAAGTCGCATCAGTCTAATTAAGTATTGCTGAAGCTTTTTGTTACTTGACAAAAGGTCAGCTCATCAAAGCTTTCATTCCAGTTGATCCAATTGCAAGATTAACAAATGAAATTTCTAATTTTGGAATGTAGCTCGCAATTATGGGAAGGTATTCTTTTTTTAAAAAAATAAAAATTGAGGTAGAAGAAAGTGAAATAGGAAGGACCAACAAAGTAGGAAATCGAACCAAATTGAATAATGTAACATAATTCTTTTAGTCATATAATCAACTAACTGAGTTACAAGAAATTTCCTACCGAAGGTCTTCATAAATGAATTTAGTTGATTTTAGGATGAATACTACTCATTTTTTCACTTGTAACTTAAGAAGGATTAAGAACATAGTAAACTTGTTAATTCTCTATCTTCTGGAAAAAGACGGACAAGACAGCGTATTGAAGATTAGGTGAAGAATGACTATCACGGGGCCAAAAAGATGGGACCATAAATGGAGTAGATTTAAAACTTTTTAAATGAAAAAATGGGTAATTGTAAGTTTGTAACACTCTTTAATTTTATAAACATTCATGGCAAACACAACGTTGAATCATGGTTAGTGGGGTAACAAACGCTTAATATTGACAACTATCTTATTTAGTGAATGTCATTTTCCATGATAACTTCTTTTATGTCAATACATTTTTGATCGTTTCTTAATATATGATGTTTAGACTAATTTTAGTAAGAAATGTATTTTCGTTTAGCCACAATCTACAAAGGATTGCACTTATATTCGGAATAGCTACCGAAGGTAAAAAAAAAAGAAAAAGAAACGTAGCTGAAATTAATGGCTAGAACATATTGGAAAAAAAGAAAAGAGGGAAATAGCTTGAAGTTTATTCAATCATCTAATTACAGCATTGTTTGCTATAGTTACTACTTATATTTTTTATAAAAATAGATTTATTAAGTTACAAGCCGATGAAAGGAACAATACAAACAACACCAAACAGGACGAATCTAAGATCTAGAATCACTAAAACGTTCTTGTTATTATTATTATTCTACGTATACATATTTTACCTAGTTTAAAATAAAAACAAGGAATAAGTGTTGTAGATGTGACTAAAAATTAAGGGACACCGTGGCGATTGATGTTATCAGTAGCAGAAAGCTGAGCATGAGCAGAGGCAGATCCACCACCTGCTAGGGTTGGGGCGTCGGTGGAACTGGCAGCACCACGCCCAGGATTGGGCTGTTGATGGCCTTGTGTTCCATAGCCCTGTTGCTTGTAATCCTCCAAATCCTTATACTGTGTATATGGACTTGTATCCACTGGCAATCCTTCTAATTTACTCTTATCTATAGATCCCTTATTACTATCTGTTTGTTTCTCCATTTCTTTCTCTGTATATAATTTGCACTTGTTGTTGTTATCTCTATCTACTGGCCTTTTTCCCATATATATAAGTTTTTCTGTTAGTGATATGGTGTTGACGCGTGTTTGTTTTCGTGTCAGGAAGTTGGATGAGGTGTTAGCATTTCCTGAATGCAAAGCTACGTCCATGTTCCACCAATTAAACTTTGGTAAATCTGCTCCTCATATTTCCGATACAAACTTATTGATGAAGAATTAAACTTCAGATTTTTTTATACTTGAAATAATTATCAATAGTAAAATGAAATTTAAAGTTAAATTCTCCATTAGTTCCAATTTATGAGAAGCTATTGGTCTAGACACATTTTTTTATTATCATAATATTTGTGCTAATATGAAACACCTGATCTGATCCTATTACCAAACATTCGTACGGTCATTACAATTAGACTTATCTTTTACTGCAAGATGGGGTGAGCTTTGTGGGTAATGGGAGCAACCAAGACTCAAGTAACATATTAAGGGTTAACTGACACAGATCTATATGAACGAACACTAGATATATTTACTGCAAAACTCGTTTCAAAATCCTAGTGAGTCACTACATTAAATTACAAAAGAATTATATCAACACCACTTCGAGACATGTACTCGTTTATTCATCCATTTCTTGATCCCTGATCCACTTTGTGGCAACCCATTTTTCACCTCGGATTACTGCACAGCTCCCGTGAATTGATGTCTGCATTAGAGATTTACAAATGTCAGTAACTGCAAGCCAACATGCGCAGTATGATATAATGTTAGTAATCCAGAGAAGATGGAGCAGCAACAGAAAATGGAACAGTGATACAGGGCATACGGGAACCAATATTATAACCTTTCCCATCAGTATCTGTGCAATGGGGTAGTACCTAATATGGGCTACCATTCACATTGATTAATCACAATTTAACATAAATCATTTTAGCAGCACCACAGCAACTCTCTTCAACAAACATCTTCATAGCATCATGGTAGACAGATTGATCAAGAACGGTTCCCACAGAAAGGAAATAGAAAAACACACAGCAAAACAAACAAAAAGAACAAAAGCCAAAGCATATAAGACATATTGGGAAGATGTAGGCATTTCTTTAACTTTTTTTCATGTTTAATTTTGTGGGCGACTCCTAATACTTTAAAATGCTAAAAGAATCACAGCTCTCCACATGGATGTTATACCGCGCTGCTACAGAGTGCAGAAAGTTTGTCTTATGTTCCAACAAACCTATTGCTGATAATCTCATTTGTAACAAATTTTCATAACTGCATCATATAAATCCACTTTATACTATTCATCTGCTATAAAGTATAAGGTGAAAAATGGTTCACAATATGCTTTGCTTGCTGCATAGCTGTTATGCCCAACCCTTTTTAAAATAACAGAGATCCTCGAGACTAGGCGCATGGCTCAGGTAGATGATGGGCCTCCCCCCATAGATCAAACTTTTTTTGTATGAAAATAAACACGGCGATCACACTGAAATCTACTAGAAAAACTCACCGGGTCAATTGTACCATTTGGAAACAGCGAGTAAAATAGTAGTCCATCCCCTCTACGCGGCTTCACTTTCAGACCAATACACTTGCGGAAGTCATAATTAGCATCCATATTCTGTGCACTCTGTAAATTAACCAAAGGACTTATTTACAGGACATGAGAGGCAGAAACATAACAATAGTCCACGAAAGAAGAAACAACTTTAAACTCACCTCGAAAGGGAACATGGTTTCTCCACCTTCTTCCACATCAGATAAATACAACAAAAAGGATGCAACCTAAATGAAAATACATTATTTTTAGTCTGGACACCTGAAAATAATCATTACTAAAAATTAACTGCAATTTGAGCTAAATTTTACATGTCAAAGTTCATATTTATAGAGTCTACGGTACACTTGCTCTAAACACTCCACAATTGATGGTTCTGAAAGGATCCACGACAAAAATCAGAATTTTTTTCATCAGAAGGGGGAAAAGAAAAGAAACAGAGATTGGATATACCGGATAAAACTATATGCTTATTAAGGATAAAACTAATGTGAGTTCCACAAAGTCCTAAATGGAAGGAATGCTGTACACACCTTGTGGTGATCCAGATAACACACCATGGTGATTCCATGTAAAAATGAAGTCATTGCAATGAATCTGCAAACTAGTGTCGTATGAACCATAGCTTCAAACAAACTGTTTTTCCCCATCTTTTAAAATATTTTTGGGGAAGAAGGATTGGAAGAAACGTGCATATGAAAACAACACCATCTTATCCCAATAACCAAACACTGAAATCCATGCACCATTCATTATGCTAGTTTGTGTAAGAATTGAGCTGGTAAAAAAATTAACAAGTCAATTGGAAAAGTTAACAGCAACAATTTACCCAAAGTAGATAGTGCATACCCTTTGGCTCTTCTGAGGACCATATTGAGAAGGATCAAACGCATCATAATGCGAATGATAACTCTGGCCGGTTTCGTACCGCAAAACATTAAATGCCTGAAAAACGCACAGGTCAACTGATTCAAGTTAAACAGCAATTATGATCACTGTACACCATACTTGGAGCTTTCATTTACAGAAAAATCATTCAGAATCACTAAATGAAATTAAGAGAAAGTTCAGACGCAAAGGGGTTACAGCCTGACTAGCTATCAATTATCGGATGCATAAGGTACATAGCATGCATTATTTGTATCATCGCATTTGACTCAAAATCCTAGGAGGAAATTGAACAAATATCCGGAATCCAGCAAAAGAACTCCAGTTTCAGATAATACTCAAAACCCAGATTTCTCCAACTATAAATTAAAGTATACGCCAGCAAGAGATGCTCAGTTTCTCTAACTTTCCTGTTAAAATGCACACCTTGATCTGTTGCCTCATGGTTTTGTCATGGTCTCTTGTTAGAATACATACAGACTACACCATGTGACAGCTGGATAGTTCATATAGAAGAGGAAACAAACCGTCAATTACAACAAATGAGCTCTTTCGCATAAGTAAACTTGGAACAAAAATATTTCCAATAGAAATATACATAGGATTTTCACATACTTCAAGCTAAATTGCCGTGTGAAACCTTTGACAAAAATTTATATTGGTATGGTGTGAATGATTTGGACAAAAAATAATCATATCATTTCCAGTCTATGATCATTGAAGTGTCCATTTATTCTTGCCATTGCTAACACATACTGATCTGTCCAAAAACAAAAGCAGACAAATTCCATCTTTCCACAGCAGATACTCATTTAAATTTTCGGATATGAGGTGAAAAGAACACAGACCAAAATATGTTTAGTGTTTGACATATATGGCCTTGAATCTGGTATAAAATGTGATTGTACAACCAGTTAATATTTACCTCCAACACCAAAAGACTTGTTTTCTTCAGTATTGATAACAATTGGAAGAATGCATTTGCTAGTGCAGACCTAAAATCACTAATATAGTTCTCCAGCATTTTATAAAAGTACTACCAGAGCTTGAATCAACGTAGTTTTCAAGAAAATATAAGATGAAGAAGAGGAAGGAAATGAAAAAGCTTTGGAAAATGATTCTCCACCAATAATACAACTATTATGTCCTCTATTAAGATCCAATTTCTGAGGTGTGGATGGAATGATAAAACTAACACACAGTAAGAACCGCATCATGCGTTATATTTAAGGTGTGTGTTTTAAATGAAATTTACCTCTCCGTGTGTCCTGGGGATCATAGTCGCCTTTGCGATTTTCTCCTCAATGAGGTTCAGAATTCCAGTTTTGTCTTCAGATGCACTGATAAACATACCAGAACTGTGGGAAAGGGGGAAAAGGCAAAGGTCATTGAAATTGTAACTTCTTGTCAAAACCAAAAGAGGCAGCAAACTTCTATCAAATAGTCTTCACAACAGATCATAGAAACATAAAAAAAAAAAAAAAAGACCTGAAAAAGGACAGAGACACATGGCCAGTTCAAACACCCTGAACAGCTTTATCTTCCAAAAAAGTAGAAAATGTATGTGAACACACTCAATTATGATGACCTATTTATCTTGTCTACCAGAAATAGATATTATGAAAGTATGAGTGGATTAAGAGTTAGTTTAAGAAATTTTCAACTAATGCTTGGAAAGAGTGAAAAGATTGCATTTATGACAAAAACATCAATTTCAGTCAAGACACATAGAACACCAGAGTATTGTTTACCTTGTTCTAATTCCTTTGGTATTCTCTGCTGTTTCTCCTTTGCGGAGAGCCAAAGATGATGGTTTCAGATCTGCCTTTGCCATCTTAATAATGCCTTGGCATTGTTCTATAGTTGCGAAATTGGGAAAGTATAATGCACGTGGGAACCAGCTTAAGACCTACCCAAAGATTGAAGTCAATGTCAAATAAGATACACCAAAACAAATGAATACTAATGCAAATCAGAGATACAAGACTTATATAGTCAATGAGTTCCATGAACAAAAATTTTACCAGCTTAGGTTTAAGTTTAGGAAGCTAACATGACCATTTACAGCTACCAGCTATTTTGCCAATAGACTTAATGGCATGCCTACTACACTGCTTCCTCCACACACAGACCTTCCCCCAGTCGACCATAGCAAAACAGGAATCATAGAAAAATAAACAAAAAGAGTAGATGAAGTTGTAGAATAACAGAAATTGAAGGATGTATATTTATTCTTAAGCTTACTTAATTATCCATCTGTGTTACTTACAAAAAAAAAAGAACAATTTATGTTACTTCAACAGTAACAAAAAGTGGTAATCATTGCATCAGAGGCAACATTATCAACTGTTGATAATCAAAATACAATAGCTATGAGAAGAAAATCCACATATCAACCAACCAAAAGTGCAAATCCAGGAGAACACATCCAAACAATAATTAAAAAGCTTGGCAGACTAATGTAAGTTCAACTACAGTAAGTTGATTCAAGTGAACAATTTTTCAAACAAAAACGGTTAGAACTGAAATCATACCAGCGCTAATTCAGCAAAGAGAATTATGCAATGAAACACACCTGAAAGGGGATGGAAGTGAGGGAATGTTCTCCAGTGTCGCCATTAGGCAAAACATCAAATTCTTCCACAGATTCAAGCACCCTCGACCTAGGCCGTACAGTAAGTAGTTGTACATCCTATCACACCCAAACACTTTGATCAGAAAACGCATATAGCAGAGACATATATCGGTTAATAGGGGAAATACCTGATGAGAAATGAGAGTAGAACCGAATAAACCGGCGAGGAAGAAGAAAAGACATAGCAGAAATACTGAAGATAAGCCCCTTATGCTCCACCATCTTTGTCCAACGAATCTACCTTTGCTCTTCATCTTCTTCCTGATGGAGAAATCGATTGGTTCAAGTTTGGGAGAAATAATTTCAGTGCACTATTTAATGACAGAGTGATGGTTTGCATGTGTACGATTCTTTGACTTCTGCACGCGGCGGGAATTTTTTTCTCCCTTTTTGCTGAAATTTGTCATTTCATCTTCTTCTTTTGGCTAGTGGTTTAGTTGATTTTTTTTATTTTTTTAAAAAAAGTATAATCCTTCAACTTTGTCATTTGAAGCCGGAGGAAAGGCTCAAAATAGTCCCTCATCTTTGGGTTAAGGCTAAAAGTTATCCTTGAATTTTCACATGGAGCACTAATAGTCCCTCATATTTGCAATATTGGTGCACTTTTGGTCCTTCCCTAAATTTTTGCCTATTTTTTAACATTAATTTTGTTCACAATTTTATGTAAAGAATGTTCAATCGTCTTTTTATATATTTAGTAGAAGTAATAACTCTATGTGAGAGAATATGAAAAGAAAAACACCTTGTTTTGTATAATAGAAATCGTATTGCAGGTAAAGTCGAGAAGTTCATCACGATAATTTCACGTGAACCAGTACAAATTTTTTATTTTCTTCCAACGTCATATGTTAAGATGTTCTTAGTTTAACTGCAGTAATATTTCTACTGAGCAGAACAAGGTGTTTTTATCACATTCTCTCACATAAAATTATTATTTCTACTAAATATATAAAAAGACGATTGGACATTCCTTACATAAAATTGTGAACAAAATTAATGTTAAAAAATAAGCAAAAATTTAGGGAAGGATCAAAAGTGCACCAATATTGCAAACATGAGGGACTATTAGTGCTCCATTAGAAAACTCAAGGATGACTTTGAGCCTTAACCCAAAGATGATGGATTATTTTGAGCCTTTCCTCTTTGAAGTTGATATGCCCCATGTTATGAAAGTGACTTATATATATCCTTATCATTATACAAACGGCTCACATATACCCCTACCGTTACAAAATGAGCTCACATATACCCTTCATTCAATAGAAGTGAAAAAATTAGTTTTAAATTTGTATTTTTGATTTTTAATTTTCTTAAAAATTATTTAGGGGTATATATAATTCTTCTAGCAAAGTTCAAGGTATGTTTTAATCTTTTTCGTACATAAATTATTTTTTGACTTCTTTGATTATAATTATTTGAGTTTCTTATTCTTATTTTATTTTTTTCTTTCATTCCTTAGTGTAAAGAAAAAAAATTAAAACTATTTTTTTGTGGCTATATTATAATTTAAAACTATTTTTTTTTTTGTCTATATTGTAATTTATTTTTTTATTTGAAGAAACAAATTTGGTCATCTATAATAAATTTTACAAGAATATTAGTGAAACATAAATAAATTTGACTATCAAAATAATGAGAGGAAATCCCTCTATATATAAACAACAAAGGGTAGTGTAAACAAATTATTTATATCAGCTTACTTGTTTTTTTTTTATTTAGTGGAGCACTAAGAGCATGTTTAGATTTTGTTTTAAAAAATAATTTTTAAGTCAAAAATAAAAATTCAAATTTAAATGAAGTCAAAAAATATAAAATAGAGTGAGATTTACTTTTGGTGTTTAAATTATTTAAAGTTATTTTTAAATTTGTCAAACACTTCGTAATTTATTTTAAGTTATTTTTGACTTATTTTAAGTTAATTTTATATTTGTCAAACATAAATTGAATCGACTTAAAAGTGGTTTGACCAACTTTTAAGTCAATCCAATTTAGTTATTTGTATTTGTGAGATTACAAAAACAGATAATTTATTGGAATCAAATTAAGTATTCTTTTGGATAAAATTTCTTTTCACAAGCAATTTTATTCACCAATTTTTTTAAATAGATGTAGGGAAAAAATACATAGTCAATAAATGTATGTGTATTGATTACTCCCATTCTAAAAATAATAAGGTAAATGAATAGTAAATTCCTTGCCAGAGTGTTTACATTTAGACACTCAATTTAAATTATGTTTTAATTGAACATTGCAATTTTTAATTGGATCTTTTAATTTGACACTTTCAATTTAAATTTTGAAAAGAAAAAAATTATATGTATTTTCATTTGTATATTAGTTAATTAAGTTAATCATATAAACTATGTTATTTCCTTTGATTATAGGCACCAACCTCAAGTAAAAAATATTTGAAATTTTATAGCCTATTAAGGTGAATGCATATAATTTTAAAAATTAGCATAGGTAATAGACTAATGAGAATGACTAGAAAAAAAAAATCAAAATTTAAATCGAAAGAGTCTAATTTAAACACTTTATTATGAATTGAGGTGTTCAATTAAATCTTATTTAGTTCAAATATTCAAATGAAATATGACAAATTTAAGAAAATTTATTATGTGTTAAGCAAAAATAATATAATATGTATTTTCACTCTGTAGTTCAATTTTGTTATGCCTACTATGGTCTTCTTATAAAGTTTAGATTTTTTGTATCAACGATGTAAATGAATTTTGAACAATATCGAACAAGGGTTGGCAATCTATAAAAAGAAATGTTATATTTAGATAAAAAAAATATATCCTTTTGAAAAATACTTCTTCCGTTTCTTTTTATATGTCATATTTATTATAAATAGTTGATCCATAATACTTGTTATTTCATAAAATTAATGCATAAATTATAATAACTAATAAGTAATTAATGTTCATTGTAATTACTTCATACATTGATTAATTACTCTCACCATTGCAATACTCTATAAAATCTGATTTTGAAAAAGAAATCTCTACAAACAAATTAAAAATAAAAGATGAATTTATTTATTTATCAATTATTGAAAAGTTGACTTAAAAAAAACATTAAATAAGGATTGAATTGTAAACTTAACATAAATTCTTACACCACATATGCACAAAATTGTCACGTAAAATGCTATGTAGGACGAATGCATCTATTTGTTCAATGAAGCCGATATACCACCATTCAACTTTGATAAATTCACCACCCGCCCCTCATAAATAAGAAGCAGAGGAGTAACATTTAATTTCAGAAAACTGTAGTTTTGCAAAGTTTCCTAATTTCTTCCAAGGCAATTTTACTTCAATTTTGTTTCTAAAAAAATCTTCTAGGATCCCTGTTTTACATTCTAAAAATTTCCTAGATGATTTATTGGGAATGTTCATTCAATAGTATCTGATCTGCTGCTATTTAGATTTTGCAAAGTAAGAAAAGAAATCACCTAGATGTGTTGTATGTTCTTTATCAAACATTTTACCAGGGATTGGGACATATGGCATATGTTCATTTCAAAGACAAAAAGTTGAAGGAAATGGAATCTCTCTTTTGGTACGGCTACAAGAATTACTCAATTTAGGACCGTTAAAACTTAAAGGAATAATAATGTCGATCGACAAGTGTCTACTTTTCTTGCAATATTAGAAATAAATGAAATGTGTTTTATAATAATTAAAGAGAAAAGAAACCTTGTTATCTTAATGTGTAATAATCTTGTTCCTTCTACAAACTACAAATAAGATATGAGTAAAAAAAAACAGTAAAAGTTTCCTTAAATTAATTAGTCCCAAATAATATAAGTTCATATAGGCAAAATCAAGCATAGGATAGGGGACTAACTATTTTGTGTAATTGGAATGAAATTCTTTCTGCGAAATCATAATCACGTGGCTGGAGAATTTGTATATTGGCTCATGAGTCATGAGTCACGACAATGATCAACAAATGTATATCATAGATAGAGATATATTATGATATTTTAATTTATATATTTTTGTATTATTTGTTAAAAAGAATACCTATTATTTTTTCGAGTACTTTATTTAACTTTTAAATATATAAAATGTAATAAATAAAATTGAGAGTAATCTAAAGATCAATCAGGCTTACATTCATGCTTCGAGCTTATGGATCATTCAGATATATTTAATATGTTTCGCCTGAGAATTCATCCTGTTTAAAACAATTATTACACATGAATTTTACAATCATTTAGGATATAATTTTTATTCCAAAAAGCATATAATTTTTTTTTCAACATCTATTTTTTTAATCGTATAACTGAGAAAAACAATCATCTTTTTAACAAAAGAATTCACTTTATAAAAATAATAGAAAGACGAATCATCTTTTAACCTTTAATTGTAGCGCTAGTTTCGTTTCGATTTATTTTTCATAGAATCAGACATAAACTTATTATACAATTAATATTCATATTATAGAAAGTTAAGTATTAAATAGTCTAGTTCTCTTTTTTTAGGGATAAATCCAAATACCTATTAACTTCAAACCAATCATTAATAAGAGGTTGAATATATATAATAAAAAAATCTATGTGCTTTTATTTAAATACTAGTTATTAGGTTCCCGCGCTAGCGCGGGCCCAATGTATATTACTTCCTCCGTCTCATTTTATGTGAGGTAGTTGATTCGCCACGGAGTTTAAAAAAGAAATGAAGACTTTTAAAATTTGTGGTACAAAATGAATGATATAAATTTGTATGACTGTAAATTATTTCATTAAGGGTAAAATAAATATTTTATAATCAAATTGTTACTTAATATATAAATGTGACATTCTTTTGGGACTGACTAAAAATGAAAGTAAATAACATAAATTGGGAGTAGTTCTTTGTTTCAATTTATGTGACACCGATGAAATTTGGAGAGTTATATAATTTTTTGTATGTGATTTTGTTAAATATATTTTGAAGTTGTTAATTTATTGTGATTTATAGCACTTCTTATATCATTTTCAAATAATATATATTACTCTTTCTGTTCCATTTTATGTGACGTAGGTACTTTTACGAAACTCAACTAAATTTCTTATATGATTCTTAAATATTTTTAGTTGTTATTTTACTTTAATTTACGTTACTTTTTATGTTATTTTCAAACAAACTTCTTTTGTTTCAATATGGAATTAAAGAGTCAATAAAATTTCTTTTTTGATTTTTAATTATGTTTTTTTAATATCTTATATTATTACATTGTGATTTTAAGTACTTTTTATGTAACTTTTAAATGTAGAACAAATTAAAAGAAAAACAAGGAAAAATTTAAATGAAGAAAGTACTAAAATTTTCAAATAATCATATTTCTATATTAAAATGTTAAAAACTTTAAAACTCCACATATATGCAGAAAATCATATACGGAAGACAAAATAATTTTTAAAATATATATTAAAGCTCTTTCTAATAATATCACATATTTATTCTATTTTTCAAATAATATATATTTCTCACTCAATCTCAATTACGCAGTACATATGAAATTTCGAGAGTTAATCAAATTCTTAGTACTATTTTAAACTATATTTTAGTACTATTTATATAATTTTCAAATAATATGTGTTACTCACTTTATTACATTATGCAATACATGTGAAATTTCAAGAATTAACCAAAATTTTAATATTTTAAATTGATTTTTAGTACTATTTTTGTAGTAAATAGAGGAAGTTGAAGAAGAAGGGCAAATCGGTCAATTGACTGACTAACCCTAAGCTCCTAAACATTCTCACTTCTAAATGGAAGCACGGGCACAATATCCGTTAAATTGTTAATTATTATGATTTATAATATTTTTTACATTATTTTCAAATAATATATGTTATGTATTTTTAAATACTTTAAGTTGTGATTAATAATATTCTTAACTTAATTTCAAATAATATATGTTACTCCATTTGTCCCAATTTATGTGACACATGTGAAATTTTGAGAGTTAATATGTTTTTCAAATATTGTAAGTTGTTAACTATTGTGGTTTATGGTATTCTTAATGTAATTTTTCAAATAATATATGTTATTCCCTTCGTCTTAATTATACAATTCGCGTAAAATTTTGAGAGTTAATCGAATTTGTAATATTTTAAATTTATTTTTTAGTACTATTTAAAAAGGAAAAAATTAAAATATTACTATATAAGAAGAGTAGTAATTATATAGTAATTTTTCAAATAATATATGTTATTCCCTTCGTCTTAATTATAGAATTCGCGTAAAATTTTGAGAGTTAATCGAATTTGTGATATTTTAAATTTATTTTTTAGTACTATTTAAAAAGGAAAAAATTAAAATATAATGAAAGAGGAGTGTATAAAAGTAGGTGGGCCATCTTTGTGATAGGTGGGCCATCTTCAAAAACCAAATATAAAAGTAGGTGGGCCATCTTGGTGCCACGTGTCGAAAGAAGAGTGAATTTTATTCACTCTTCTTATATAGTAATAATATGTTTTATAAAGTGCGGATTGAGCCATCCTTCAAACAATTTTACTATTCACAAAAAGTTAATAAATGTCTTAAAAACATCCAAAAGTTAACGTAATATTTTTTCAAATTTCTTATCTCATTGTAATCTCCTTTTCTCTACCTCTAAGTAAAATGTCAATAACTTTGCACGTTTTTATGAAGTAAACAAAAATGGAATAAATTTGATAAATGTTTACTTAAACATTCATTCTCACGTGATTTCAACGTCTTCCTACTAAATAGAATATTAATGATTTCATATATTTATGAGTAGTTCAAGCCTATTTTGGAATAAATCATGTATTGGCCCTCTTAGAACCTTCAATCTTCGAGTCATAAAGGAGTTGTGGTATGGCTTTGGCTTGATCCGACCTAACCTCCTAATTTTAAGACTTTTTATACTCTCCTTCATCCCAAAATAATTTTCGTCTTTATCATAAATATTTATCTCAAATCTTTTGTTATTTAAACATTCAAAACAAAATTAAGAAAAGTGTATTGTTTTGTCAAATAGGAATCAGAGAGAGCACAAAAGAACTCGTGGAACAATGAGAAATGAACGTAACAGTGGTGTGCAAGGATAATCTTTCCACGTTGCAACACAAGTTAACCACGAATTTGCTTTGTATACCACAAAAAAATGCTTCACATTTAGAATCTATAATTCAAGATAATCCTATGTAGGAGCCACATAAGTGGACCACAACGTTTACAACTGGTGGTCGAACACACACAATCCAAAAGAGTAGCCCTCAGTTGGCTGATTCTAATTGGACAAAAATAAGAAATTATAAAGATCGTCATTTCTTGGGGGAGATAACAGAGAATATTCAACTACTGACAATTTTCCATCACGTATAATGCATGGTCTTTTCTTTTCTTTTTTTCAAGAAAAAAATAATAAGAACTTCTATCTAGCTACTTTTTCTTCTGAATTCTATGGTTGCAAGAAAATTCACAAATGCTAAGGCTAAATTTTTATGGCTCCATAGTTTCTAGTCCGATAGAAGTCAATAGAAGCAGCCGCTCGTGGATCATTTTGCCGAACAAAGCAACGATTGTATGTCGGAGGAACATTAGAGTTAAAGCCCTGAAAGATGGGATGAATGGTGGCACCAACGGCAGTGGATTAGGTGGTCGTAGTTGGGACCCTGGCTTGGAAATTGAGGTGCCATTTGAACAAAGGCCGGTATGTTCTCAATTCATCCCTGGCCTCATTCATTTGATCCAATCTGCAGAAAACGATAGAAAAGACTCATCTTAGTTCACATACTAGTTTATATTTATACACTAATACTCTGATAGTGTAATGATTTTTTAATGCTATCCTTATTGTTCAACTTGTGATGTAACTTTTCTTTAGCTTAATCATAGAGATTAGTTTGCAATCACCCTATTAGTGACCTGGTTCTGTAAATATTCTTACATTTTTAGTGTATAAAACTTAAACTAGTCTTGAGAGGGCCACAAGACCTGCACAGGTGAGACATGCCATTATACGATAAGCTTCTACTGCAGGTTATAGGATTATTGAAATGATCAAACTGACTCAGTAAATTACCTTTAACATGTACTAAATTTCTGAAGTTCCGTAAGGACGGGGGACTTGATATGGAGGTGGGTGAGCAATTTAAAGTATTAACTAAGCTAGTGCTTTTTACCAGGTGAATGAGTACTCATCTCTGAAAGATGAAACTTTATACTCTTGGGCGGAATTGGGTCCAGGGGCCTTCTTCCTACGTCTCGGAGGACTTTGGTTAGTTACTTTTGCAGTTTTGGGAGTACCTATTGCTGCTGCAAGCTTCAATCCTTCAAAGGTAAATTGTTAACTTTGTGCAAGTTCATTCTCCCGCAAAGTGAGTACTCATGTGTCAATAGCAAACAAGGAGCTTTCAATTTTCTTTCTTTAATTATTTCTAAGTCACAAACACAATCAATGAATCCACTTATTGACATTCAAATTTTCACAATCCTCCTGCAGGATCCTTTAAGATTTCTCCTGGCTGCAAGTACAGGGACTCTTTTTCTTGTTGCACTGATTGTCCTAAGAATTTATCTGGTAAAGTTCTTCAATTGCAGAACTTCAATTTTTTGGTCAAATCATTCGGATCACATTCAATCAACGACCATAACAGGGATAGAGCTACGTTGGAGAAAGATAATTTGAGAACTTAACTTTTCTAATATTCTATTTAACTTTCTAATTCCTGACAATAACCATAATAGGGATGGAGCTATGTTGGAGATAGGCTTTTATCAGCAGTTATACCTTATGAAGAGACCGGATGGTATGATGGACAGATGTGGGTGAAGCCCCCTGAGGTTAGTGGTCTTTCCTTTGCAAACATATTTTACAGGTCCTTTCTCTTTGCTTCCTCTGCTCCTCCTCATTCCCACAGCAAGAAAATATTGCCAGCTTCAAAATGGATAAATTAGGTGACACGGATTGACGCCATTATCATCCCCTATTCACTGCTTCACTTGTCACATGGCTGACTTCAGTATCATCTCCTAGTTGTAGGCATCAATCCAGTTCCCTAAAATAGCTCATTTATACTACTATTTACATCAAGCACATTTAAGTAAAAAATTAAGTCAAGCTTGAACACTTTATAAAAAAAAAAGAGGAGGTTTATAAACTGAATCTAGAAAATGCTCGTGTATATGAAGAATACAGAGCTAGCAGAAAAGGGGAAATTAGAGTAACAATACTTTTAGACAACTTAATGTTCAGCTGTGTCCATCATTATATAAAACTTCTTAGCCTTTCATTATTCTTACTCCAATCCCATTCTCTTGAAGGTCTATCTTCATATATTTTGCACATCTAAGTTTTACTTCATTTGACACATAAGGAGAGAGGTCTACCTTGAATTTTAACCCACAAAAATGATTTCTTCAACGAACCAAAAGATCAAAAAGAGAAAATTCAAGACGATATTCTCAATGAAACGTTGTAATATTGCTTGACATGAATTGATTCACATAATAGATTAGAGCAAGTGCCCAGAACCATAATGACTAACACTGAGGTGAACATGGTCCGATATATCATGAAATGGACTTAAAATTTGGTATCACAAATAAGAAGTGGGAAATGAAGCTACATGTGAAAGCAATAAGCTATACTTCCTTGTCTTGGTCGAATCATAAGTCCTTGCACAATATTTTTATTATTATTAGCACGACCAGCTATGCTAAAGATTTCAATAAAAATAGGTTCTTCATGGTATAGAAATGTAGTTAGCTTTCCTTGAAACTTTGAGCAACAGATCTTCAAGAAAGTAATAGCATTATCTTTTACTTTGGATGATCCCACAACAACAGCACACGATGGATTAACATCTATACCATGAAGCTAATATTAGTTTCGCTCCTATGGTAATTCATGCTCCAAAAGTTTATAAATACCTGCAGTTCTTAAAAAACTTATCAGAAACCATTTTGCACATATGACATTTAATGTGGTTATTCCTTGCAGATCCTAGCTCGGGATAGGCTGTTGGGCTCTTATAAGGTACCAGATTGATCTATAAAATTCATCAGCTGGTTACATCATATTCTAACTGTCAATAGAGTAGATCTTTCCAATATTACGAGCTTGACAAAGCTGAAGGAATTTATTTATCTAGGTGAAACCAGTCATTAAAATGCTGAAGCAAACGCTAGTTGGAACAGGGGCTTTACTAGTTGCAGCAGTCTCATTATTCATATTTGCAACACCAGTAGAAGATTTTTTCCGCGATACTTTCACAACAAAAGAAAACTCATTGAGTTCCACCTCAACAAACAGCACAAATAAACTAGGCATCAGGTATTCTATTCAAAACTTAAGAAGTACAATATTATAAAATTTCATGAGCTTACGTTGTTTCGCTATGTAATTAAAGGAAAGAAGAACTGTTACGCTTGCCACTGGAAGTCAAGGAGGACGATGATCTGGCTAAAGCTGCTGCTGAAGCAGCTGATGGAAGGCCAGTTTACTGCAGAGATAGGTATTATCGTGCATTGGCCGGTGGTCAGTACTGCAAATGGGAAGACTTGGTTAAATAAGAGGATATATAAGTGAAGAAAGCTACAGTTAAATTCTATGATTGCTCAAAAGATCTGCACAATTGAGCCTCTTCTTATAATTTTAAAGAAGAAATTTTGATGTTTTACGCATTAGATAATGTGTATGCAAAGAAAAAAAAGAAAGAGAATCATAACCCAAAATGTTTACATCCATCATTTGATCAAAAAGCCTCTGTGTGCTGCAACTGCAAGCCATGATTTGGGGGAAAATAATAGTTGCCCACCTGTGTGAATATTTGTTATCATCAAAACCAATTCGAGAAACCGATAATAATTCCTCCCTTCACTACGAAAACAGACTTCTTAGTACAAACCTTTAAAATTTATTAAAGTAAACACAGTAAAACAAACAGGATAGATGCAAATTTTCTTCTTAGGGATGAACCTTTATTCAGTTGTGCTCAAATCTTCCCCTATTTGAGGAACCCTAGATCATAAAAAATTACTATTACTATAAGTTTATAATTGCGGCAGCACTCTTTGAGTGTTAAGATCAGCAGCAAAAGATTACATAATACAGACAGTATTGTAAACGATTAAAAACTTGACGATTTACGAGTTAAATGGGTCTTGATATCATTTTCTTTAACCCTAAAATCTAATCACTACCATTCTAGCATGATTCAAGCCAAGAGTTGTTATTTTCAACTTTTAATTACTACTGTTCTTTGCCAATTCGCAGAGGTATTGCCAGTTTTTGTTTATACATCTTACTACAGAGTGGGATTATGAGAAGTACTTACTTGAATTAACTTGACAAAAGCTCTTTCTTTCATAGAGATCCAAAGTTTTAAATCAATTATGTTATAACACTACTACTGGTCTTGCTATTCATGTATGATAACGGGCCTATACTTATAAAAAAGGCTTTTATGCATAAACGTAATCAGAGAAATTAAATTTGGGGATTTTATAGAGAGCACATATATTTGAGGCTAATTACAGTTTCTCAAATTATAATTTTTTAATTTTTTTTTCCGTACATTTCTTTTTTTGTCGGTTACATTACTTAATGAGAGAGATGTATTCGAGAGGGGATAGAGTCATAGAGATGTATTTGAGAGGGAATAAGAATGTATCCAAGGGGGGAGAGATGCATCTGTGAGGGGTTAGAAATGTAACCGAGAGAGGATAAGAATATTTTTGAGAGGAAAGTTTTGAAATTTTTTTAGATATTATGATATCTTAAATTTGTATATTTACATAACTTTTCCTTTTAAATTTTCTGAATAGTGGATATATTTTTAAGCTACTAGATAAAATTGTTCTTCATATCAATAAAGATAGAGATAATATGCTATAATCAATTAAAATAATAGGAATATTGTAAAATAAAGAGTCTTTATATTGTCACTTTAGTAGTAATCATAAGGCATTTAAACCGATTTCATAATTGCATAATAATCACATTTAAAATTACACACACTGATAGTGTGAAAGATTTCCCCCTATTAGTCTAGTTTTATCATAATTTGCAATGTTATCGAAAAGGTTATGATATGTGGTATTAGTTACACTAATTATTACTCCCTCTGTCCAATTTAAACTCATGGTTAATTATTACTCCCTCTGTCCCATTTGAATTTATGATCTAAAATAAATTAATAGATATTTATGTTGCTATAAATCATTTTATTAGAGGTAAATAGTACTTTAAAGTTAAATTATTATTTAATATAAAAATGTATCATTCTTTTTGGGACGAACTAAAAAGAAAAGTAAGTTATATAAATTAAAACCGAAGAAATATTATTTATTTTTTTAGGGTTGTTTTGATTAGACATAAATACTTTGGCAGCGTAGAGAGTTAAATCAAATCTATTTTTAGTTTTTGAGAATGTTTGATAAAGTTAAAAATAACTTAAAATAAATTTAAAAATAAAAATAGACCTTTTCTTACTTTTTATTTTTAACTTAAAAATTATTTAAATTTAACTTTTTAATATATAATTTAAAAATTACTCATATGTGAATTTATTACTTAGTCAGTTGTTGATGGAACAGGTCGTGAGTTGGCAGGAAAGAGAGGCGTAAAAGAGCATAACATGTGGGGAGTTGAAACAAAAGGCTCTCTCACCTTTCTTGTCCAACTTATGTACATGCAAATTTTGAGTCAAAACATCTTTTTTCTCGCTTTTGTGTCGCATTTTATAAATCAGAATTTAGATATTAGCATATGGTTTTTTTATATCAATAATTAGGTAATATTGATTTATATAACTCGTCATTTCAAGTTATTTGAATTTTGATAAATCTAAATTGCAATTTAGAATCTTATTAATGTGTACTCTACTAACTAGCTGAACAAGAAAATTAATTAGTTATGATTACTCTAGTCTCTATATTGAATGCTCACGACGTAATTACCAGATAATATATACTTATTATTTATCTCATGGTACCACCGACATGCATATCCATATGTTTAACGATACTGGTTAAAGGAGAGTATGTTTTATACGTTACAGCTCAATTATATTGGTCCTAACACTTATTTTAGTGGGGGTGGGGTGTGTGTAAACATATCAGGAAATATTTGCCATTTCAAAATATCTCCACTTAAAAAATTAACAGTTGGACCAGCAAAAATTAAATTCACATAAAGTTATATGCTAGTTCATTAACTCGTTGCCAATCTGGAGCCATCATAAGTAAATGAAATTACAAATGACAGTGTTATTTACAACTAAAATAATAATATACTATTGTTTATAATGTTTTATATACCTTGTTGCTGATAAATATTATAAGTTTGAGAAGCTAGAAATTCTCTACTCTCTATATAGTATTGATTAAGCGATACAAGGACTCTAAGATCTCATCCTGATACAACGTGAGATCATTTCCATCACCCCCACCCCTCAATCTCTGGCTTAACTCAACCTCAAAAAGAGAATCTAATGGGCTTAGCTCTGATATCATGTTAAATGAATTTTGATCCTAAATATTTAACTTCAAAATAAAGATCAAATGAGAAGAATTATCCAAATCATATAAGGAATCCTAAGATCTTGTCCCACTCCAATGTGGAATCATCTACGAATGTAACTTATACCCGAGAATGTCACAATTATATAACAAACCTGCTAAGATAATTTGCAAATATATTCCTAAATGGGGCCTTATACAAAATCTTCAAGGTAACTACAATCAATAGGCCGCAAAGAGAAAAAACTGTCGATACATATTATCCCTTGCACGTATTTTTTTTTTTCCTAATTAGAAAGAAGGAAGAAGATATAAAAAAAAGATTACTCGTACATTTTGTAGTTCGTTTACTAACTAATATCATTATAAATGTGCATAATTCTTGCCATCATTTGGATTAAGTTTCTTCTAATCAAAAACAAAACTTAAAAACTTCTGATATCCTTATTTCATATGGGAAAGGTATATATTTCTTTTCAAAATTATTTTATCATGCTGCAAAACTAGAAGTAAAATCGATCGATGCTAAAATCCAAAAATAGATAAAGAATCACATTTTAGAATTAGCACAATAACTGACTTCTTTATTTGTTTTGTATTTTTAATATCAAGAGCCCTCTATTTCATGCTCCTAATGTTCAATAGAATACTAATTTTGGGACTGGGGGTTCACGTGTTTCTATTGTATTTTACCCCCTACACAAAATTACAGTAAAATATTTTCGTTTTTCATCGATAATTAGGGGTATCTAACATTAAATAACGTTGATTTGTTTAGTTACTAGACCTTGTCTAGCCCCTACGTAGCCTTGTTTGTTTTTGTTTGAATAGAGCAACTGGAAAAAACAGAGTTCAATAATTAATTTGTTACAACAGATTACTATATAAAACAAATATGATTAGTAATTGGGAAAACAAAATAAATAACATAATCATACTAAGCAATATATAATTTAAACTCGAAAAGTAGACAATCATGATAATTCGAAATTGGGACATTTGAATTAATTCTCGAAAGATGGAATTTCGACGTTTCACCAACCATCTACCTTCTCTTCCTTTTTACCAGACAAATAAAGTTTACTCCTAAAACTTAACACTACCCGTTTCTGTATGGACCCGTGAACCACTAATCACTATTGTTCACTAATGGTAAAGATTTTTTTTCTCCCATTATCTATATTATAGTTGTAGTACTGGAAGTTGGAAATCTTCAAGTTCTCTTCGTGAAATCTACAGCATTTATCAATCTGAATAATTAAAGTGGACTGTCACTTGAGTAATGAATTCACTACCAAGTGAATCTGTAAAAAGATATAATAGTAAAGAAATGGGATTAGAGATGCCACTCAAAATTGTGGTTTCAAGCTTTTAGAATGAAATTGCCATGCTTTAGTCTTGAGACTTTTTGGAGCGACTCCGAATTAGTCGAGTCCCAAAACAGCTATCCAGATATCAGCTAAGAAAAAGTGATTCCCAATGATTAAGAATAAAAAAGTACTTACCACTCTCGCACTTGAACCAAAATTGAGTGGCTATTAACTAATCTAAGTAGCAAAAAAAGAAAGGAATGAAATAGGAGGATGGAAGAATTTTGGATTTCTGTTTCTTTTCTGTCTTTTCTTGTGCAAATGAGCAAATTATTAAGTGGAAGGTGAAAAGAGGTTAGCACTGACTACGAAAAATAAAGACGGAAGATAAAATGATGAAAGGAGAATACGCATTACCATTTTGTACTCTAAATTCTTTGATTACTTACGTTAAGAAATGTGATTTCTGTGAATCTGATCCTTCTTTTTATACTCGTTTTTCCTTCTTTAATCTCTATTTATCAGTTATTCTGCTAGGCTGGATCTTTCCGATAATTCATAAAAAGAAAACAACATCCCCATCTCCTCACACAGTAGCTTCACTTCACTACACTCAACACTCTTTTAATTTTCTATATATATTACCTAAAGTTTCTCATTGCTTGTTCATTCAATTCCCTTTATTAATGCAGCAGTTCAAGGGAACTAATGAGTGGAAAAACACAAAAAATAATCACAATGTCTACATACCCGTTGATAGTTGTAGTTGTTGTACTGGTGTGCCTATGTCATATGTCTGTGGCAATGGAGGAGAAGAAAACATACATCATTCACATGGCTAAATCACA